TTCTTTATATTTTTCCCTCTTTCTTATTATTTCTTATATACATATGTCAATATATAATATATATGAGCAAAGTATATATGTTAAAAGAAAATAAAATTATACTATAGAGTTTTGTAGCTTCTAATTTTTACTCCATATTACATATTTTCCCATTACAATAAATACTTTAGATTTACTCATATATACATACTAGGTAACAATAAAGACAGACCATATGTAATCATATGTAATGTAAATATACAGTGTAATCTTGAAATGCATTTCAAAAGACTGGTAGAAGCTGCTAAAATATTAATAAAGCTGATCTATGAGTAGATATTTCTATAATATGTATTATTTCTAAAAACAAAAACAAAAAGAAACATTTTAAGCCTTACAGTTACCAAAAGGAAAGAGAGTCAAGAAACTTCACAGTTGTCTAGTTTATTGTCATTATTTAAAAATAATTTGCCTGTGTTAGGGGTGACCATATATGCCTATCTTTCTATAATTGTTTAAAATTAAGATACCATATTACATTTCCATCTTTAGTAATACTTTTCTCACAATCTGTTTTGAAAGCAGCCCTACAACCTGAAGGGTAGCAGGATTTGCCACACAAAAATATACCACTTTGGCAGAAGGATTACAGTTGACCCTTGAACAACAAGGGCCTGGACGGGGTGAGTTCATTTACATACAACTGGTATGTGGAATTTAAGAAACAAAACAAATAAACAAAGGGGGGGGGAGGAGAGAAGCAAACCAAGAAACAGACCCTTAACTCTAGAGAACAACTGATAGTTATCAGAGGGGAGGTGGGTGAAGGATGGGTTAAATAGGTGATGGGGATTAACAAGGGTACTTATGACAAGCACAGGGTGCTGTATGGAAGTGTTGAAATCACAATACTGTACTATACTGTAAATGGATTTTCTCTTCCTTATGATTTTCTCAATAACATTTCTCTAGCTTACTTTATTGCAAGAATACAGTATATAATATATACAACATATAAAATGTGTGCTAATCCACTGTTTATGTTACTGATAAGGCTTCCCATCAACAGTAGGCTATTAGTTAAGTTCTGGAGGAGTCAAATGTTATGCATGGATTTTCGACTGGAGTGGGAGTGGGGTGCTCCACTGCCCCTAACACTGCAATTGTTCGAGGGTCAACTAAGTGTATTTTGAGGTGAAGGCAACTAAGAAGCAGCAGATACAAGAAAACTCTCTACTCTCCCTGCTATTTGCCTAAAAGCAGAACAAAAATTTGTAAAGGTGCTCCCTGCTTCCCTCTTTACCAGAAAGGACACACAGTATATTAGTTACCATAGATAACTCTAGACCCTTATCAGCCCACAGACGGCATGAGAGGATCTACATAACAAACTTTACTTACTGGTCCTTATCTTCAATTAGTTTCCCATATATCGACCTCCCCACAATTTGCCACTCTTGAAACAGTCCTTTTCCTTTGTCTTGTCACTCCTCTACAAATTTATTATTCTTTTAAGATGCTATATAAGCCCAAGTTCATCACTAAGTACTTCATGTGTATGAGTGCTGTACATGTTAATACATTTGTTTTTCTCTTTCTTTTTTAAACTGGAATATGAATGTATTTCTTTATTAGGATGCTCACAAGAATGGCACACTAGCACTGTCCTTCTGATGTGATAAAGAATACATACATCTGACCCATATTGTGGCAGGGAGGGGTAAAGTCTCTCAGAACTGGTACCAACTATCCACTGAAGACATCTCCATTCACCAGAGAGGATGCTTCTTGAATCCGAACATATCTGCTGTAGCTTCCACTCAGGTCTCCATGACTTGCCCAGACTGCATTCCAGCATCAGTTGACTCTCTTTACTCTGGCCACTTTGGAATCCTTCAAGACCTAGGTCAACTTCCCCATGTCTAACTGGCCCAGGTGCAGCCTCTGGAATTCTGCAGCACATCTTTGGTAGGCTGCTGCCCTGGCACCCTCAGGGGCATGTTTAGGAGTTGGAAGGAGAGATGGAGGAAACACATTACCAAAGCAAATGGGGCAGATTAGCAAATGACACTTGGACATACACCTAACAATCTCACAGGATACATGCTTTGTCCCCAAATGATACATAATTCCCATAGAGAGCAAACGTGTATGGAATGATTTTGCACACCAGGCACAGAGGATAGAAGTGAATGGTGTTTACATCCATCATGTCCTACACACAAAAGGAAGTTAGTGCCTGAAAACTGGAACCAGATCTCTATCCTGGCTCTTCCCTGCCTTTGAATGGTGTCACCACTATGTTTCTGCCTGTGCTCGGCATTAGTTCATTTTTCTTTTTTTTATTTTAAAATTTTTTTTTCAACGTTTTTTATTTATTTTTGGGACAGAGAGAGACAGAGCATGAACGGGGGAGGGGCAGAGAGAGAGGGAGACACAGAATCGGAAACAGGCTCCAGGCTCCGAGCCATCAGCCCAGAGCCTGACGCGGGGCTCGAACTCACGGACCGTGAGATCGTGACCTGGTTGAAGTCGGACGCTTAACCGACTGCGCCACCCAGGCGCCCCATTAGTTCATTTTTCAAAGGAAGGATAAGATGGCACACAGAGTAGAATAGGAGATTGGGCTGGGGTTAATACATGCATAACAACCTATAAAACAAAAATAATACAAAAAAGCAAAAACCATATTTAGTACTATAATGCAACAAGAGAAGGTAGCTGGAGATACTACATGCTAACACAGACACTATGACACATGTCCCCAAGGGAAGAACTCAGTGTGGAAGGAGCAGAGGCCACCGTTTTAGACTGAGTCTTTCAATGGACAGCTGAACGGACTGGATTTGCTGCTTCAGCTGTGAGCCTTCTTTGATGGTAACAGAAGAGGTGATGATAGTCCTGGAGAGCCCACAGGCCCACCCCAGGGCCCGCTTAGAGCGCACAAACATGTAGGGCACGTTCTTATCCTCATATAGCAGTGGAAGGTGCAGGATCATCTCCAGCGGCTCAGCATCTGCAGCCATTACAATGAACTCAGAGTTGCCTCTGCTGAGGGTTCTGGTGGCTTCATTAGCTCCTTTCCAAAGCTGTTTGTAGTTACATGACTGCTGAACAAGGCCCAGTAGTTTTCTTGGTGAGGTGGGTGTCTGTGAGGGAGTAGGCCTTTGGATTTATCTCAGCCTCAGTCACTGCAACTCCCAGGTCCTGCCACCCATCTGGGAGAGCAGACACATCAGAGCAGCAGCATGCGCCTAGGCGCTGTTTTTCTCTTTTTAATCTGCCTTTTGTAAATTTAATTTACAGGGGCCAATAAACGTAAGATGGATAGAGGGAAAGACGTTTTCTCTCCTTCAGAACCTTCTTTTCTAAGTACTTGGCTTCTGTGATGTTCCTGTGATGGTTGCTCTGGGGATACGTAAATTTCAGATTATGACCACCAAAGAATAAAGACTCTTAACTCATTTTAGCATACCTTTTCTATTAATCTTATTTTTCCTTTGGGACTAATCTAGTTTGAAAAACCATGAAAAATCAGATCTCACACCTTTGCACAATTACCAGGAAGTTGGGCCACTACACACTTTACAGCCAGAATCAACTGAAACAATGCTTCCTTTACTCTCTCTTTTGATTACCACCTTTTATCTAATTCTGGTTCTTTGTGAGTCATTCCTCTTTTTGTAAAATCATCTTATATAAAAGACTTATAAAATCCTTAGGTGTTTGCTTTGGGACAAGTTTCATGGAGATGTTCTTGTGCAGATTAAATAAAAATCCCATACTTGTCAACTTTTAGAAAAGTGCATCCTTTCCTACAATTCATTATTTTTTCATTCATTCCCCCTCAACTTATTCTCTTCCAAATTATAAAAAAAAAAAAAGAAAGAAAAATGCATGCTTCTGATACATTTTTGAAGGAGAGCTTTACAGAAAGTAGAAAATCACAAAAAAATGGTAACCCTATCATTCGAAGATACACAATACCACACTTGGATGTTTTAATCTCATTTTTTTTCCATTTATGGTGGGCATTTTCTATCACTGCCTATAATGTAACTTTAACTGGCAATAAAATAACATTTTATTGCTATGGGGGTAATTATGCCTAACTTGACTAACTCACCTCATTTAGAACTAAGTCTAATTTTTAACTATTAAATATAGAAGACAGGAGACAAGCATCTAAGTTTGTGCTTCAGGTAAAAGGCTCGTGGGTAAAAAGGTCAAAAATCTAAAAGAGAGTGAGGTGGAGGATGTTCTCCTTATTTGCATTTCTCTGAGGTAAACATTTTTTTTTCATACGTGTAGTTGTTGCATTGTTTTCTTTTGTTCCGGTCCTTTGTCCAGTCTTCTTCTGGAGAGGTTTGGTATTTCCCAATTTCCCTTTAATTACCAACAACCTGAGGGGTCTCCTCTCCCCGCCCGACCGGCCCCACACGCCCGCTGGGTGTGAAAAGCCGCTTTCCCAAGAGCAATCTCGGCGCCTTTTCACCGACTCCTTTCCGGTGTCACCGGCCTCAAAGGGCGCGGAGGGAAGCCGTTAGCGCCACCGCGCACTTCTGCGCACGCGCAACCCGCCACCCTCACGGCCCCTCACAAAGGTGGCTCTAGCGGCCGGCCGGAAGTGGACGCTCAGCGGTCAGGGCGGGGTACTGTGTACTACACTTCCCGAAAGGCTGCGGCAATACGATGCCAGCGGCGGCTTGGTTGAACTGCCGCGGACTACACTTCCCGACGCGCCGCGCGAGACGTTTCCAGCGGCTGCTGAGGTAAACGGCTGCGGACTGCTCTTCCCGACGCGCCGCGCGAGACACCGCCGGCGGCCGGCCGAGGGCGGGCCGACGCGGGAAGCTCCGGACGTGAGGCATGAGCGGCGCCCTCCCTCGGCCCGCGCGCGTTCTGCTACCTCCCCGAACGAGGGTCGCGCGGCGCGGGGCCTAGCGGCGGGCATCTCAAGCCCTCGGCGTGAGCAGGGGCTGCTGCGACCGCGCCGGGAGCCGGCGAGGGCGGCGGCCACCATGGAGGTGAGCGGGCCGGAAGACGACCCCTTCCTGTCGCAGCTGCACCAGGTGCAGTGTCCCGTGTGCCAGCAGATGATGCCCGCCGCGCACATCAACTCGCACCTGGACCGCTGTCTGCTGCTCAACCCCGCTGGGCACGCGGAGCCCACGGCCGGGCCACACCGCGCCGGGGAGCGGGCCAAGGGGCTCTCGCCGCCCAGCGCCAAGAGGCGGCGGCTCTCCGAGAGCTCGGCTCTGAAGCAGCCGGCCACCCCGACGGCGGCCGAGAGCAGCGAGGGCGAGGGCGAGGAGGGCGACGACGGAGGCGAGACCGAGAGCCGGGAGAGCTACGACGCGCCGCCCACGCCCAGCGGCGCCCGCCTCATCCCCGACTTCCCGGTGGCCCGCTCCAGCAGTCCCGGGAGGAAGGGCTCGGGAAAGAGGCCGGCGGCAGCGGCCGCCGCGGCGGGCAGCGCATCTCCGCGGAGCTGGGACGAGGCGGAGGCGCAGGAGGAGGAAGAGGCGGTGGGCGATGGCGACGGGGACGCCGATGCGGACGGCGAGGACGACCCGGGCCACTGGGATGCCGACGCCGCCGACGCCGCTGCCTTCGGGGCCAGCGGTGGGGGCCGCCCGCACGCCCGGTCGCTGGCGGCCGAGGAGATTCGGCAGATGCTGGAGGGCAAGCCGCTGGCGGACAAGATGCGTCCCGACACGCTGCAGGACTACATCGGGCAGAGCAGAGCCGTGGGGCAGGAGACCCTGCTCCGGTCCCTCCTGGAGACAAACGAAATCCCCTCTCTTATCCTGTGGGGACCGCCGGGCTGCGGCAAGGTGAGTGCCGCCTTGACTGAAGGTTCCGAGTATTGATCTCTACGGGGTCGGGCGTGCATCTAACGGTCACAGAGCCCTGGCAGAGGCCGTCCCCGAAGAATCCGCCCGCCCACCCCGGATATTGAGATTGAGGCCTGAGTGCAGGGCCTCAGGTACCATCTGAGCCCGGGCAGTGCCTGGCCCACAGGTGGAATCAGTGATGGGTGTAGAAAAGACACACCCCGCCAGATTTGTAAGACACGTTTTCTGGTCATTTTCAAAAGATGTCTGAATTCATAGGTTTACAAAAATATTTGGACTCTTAGATTTGATCTTTGTGTTCCAACGTGCGACCCCACCCTCCCATTAATGACCCAGTTCTCAAGGAAACGACATGTTATAAATTGCAGAACATTTGTATATTCTATTTGTAGGTATATGGGTTCAGCTTTGGGGTGGGGGGGGAATCAAAATTTGTTTTTGTTTGTTTCAGTTGTGTTTCCTTCCCCTCCCTGTAGCTGTTGTTTTATTTTAACTGATTTTTTTTTTATCTTTGAGAATCTATTTATTTAACAAGACTAATAGAAAACTCTTTTCCTTTTGCAAATTGTTTTGACCTAGCATTTCCATAACTCTCCTCATAATGCCTTCTACTCTAGAGAAGAAACATCAATGCGTTTTGATGTCCATCTTGTTAGGAACTAGCACATGTCCAGAGGAAGGCAGTTAGGATACTGGGGTCTGTAAGACATGTCATTAGAAGAATACTTAAGAAACAGTGGCAGAGTTAAGCAAGGTAGAGAAGGCTAAGAGGTGTTTAAATACTTTTTTCTATCCACAGAAAGAGAGAGGAGGATGAGCACCAGTGAGTGAAACGCAAAATTCAGGATCAGAGTGTAAAGAGGCTCTCATAGCTTTGTGACTCAGACTCCTTAGTATACAAGGGCTTTAATGATTTTTTTCCCAGTTTTTCTTTCCAGCTTCATCTGCATCTTAATCACACCTTCCTTTGCTCCAGTTCCTAGAATGCATCTTGCTCATTTTGTGTTTTCTTCACACTGATACTTTCCCTTTGGCCAGGAATAAATCAGGTCTATCCCAGATAATATTTTACCATGGTGGTAGATTTAGTAGTTACCCCATTTAGGAGACTGAGCAGGAGTATTATTAGTAGTTGTTCATGAACTCTGCATAAGATCATGAGCATGGCTAATCAGCTGTTGGTGAACCAGATGGCAAGAAAAACTCCCTAGGAAGATGAGTAGGGTGAACTAATAGAAGATGCCAGGCAAGAGATGTAATGGGCCGCTCAGTGTAGTGATTGGTGATCAGGCACAAGCCTAGGCTTATGTGGTATGGGAGCCTATAGGCTGGGGTTTGATGAAGAAGCAGCCACAGTATCTAATGGTACCATACAAATTTTAGAAAATAAAGTGCCACCTTTCCATTCATTCAGGACCAAATTTGTTCTTCTCTTTAAACATAGTTTTTCTTTATTCCTATTCTTACTATTATACTTTACTGCTAACAATAATAATGATGTTAATAACAGCGTATGCACATAAGCACACTTATGGGGCACCTGGTTAAGTGACAGTCACTGATCTCGCCATCATTTTCTCATGACTGCTAACATGATCCGAGTGCTATTGTTTCATCTACTTCCAAAGTAGACATTCAGAGGTGGCAACTTGCAGTGCTCTTAAATGCTAGGGAATTGTCATTGGTCTTACAGTGCAAGGGCTCATTCCTTTTCTAGGCTTCACTGATAAGTTTCCAGTTGTAGAATTGATTGATTCTGTGGTTCTGACTCACATTTCTACACCTAGTCCTTCAGCAATAATGCTTTCTTGGCTGGAAGAGGTCACAGCTGTCACTCAGGCTCTGCTAAATCAAGACAGCCACCCTTTATGGGGATTCCAAAGATCTTAGAGTCCCCAAAAACGGAATCAAACAGGGTTAGGTGTAAAGGAGAAAAAAGGTCAGGATTAGCCTAAGTTTTAGCTACTTTCCTGTTTTATTTTTAACATTTTTTTTAATTTTTAAAATTGTGGTATGGTATTTTGGATTGTATCTTTGCTGCTGAGCATTCTTAAGAGTTCAAGTTGCTTGGTAAATAGTGCTGATGCTGCTTGTGTTAGTACCCATGGGTGTCTGATCAGCTTTCCAAACTCTGTGTGTCATATTTTCTAGACCACTTTGGCTCACATCATAGCCAACAACAGCAAGAAACATAGCATAAGATTTGTGACATTGTCTGCAACAAATGCCAAGACAAATGATGTGCGAGATGTCATAAAACAAGCTCAAAATGAAAAGAGCTTTTTCAAAAGGAAAACCATCCTTTTTATTGATGAGATTCATCGGTTCAATAAATCTCAGCAGGTATATTAACTTCTTTCTACGTTTTGGTCATTATGAACATAAACTATGTGAGGTCACTTTGAAAAGCGTAAAAAACGCAAATGATAAGGACTGTTGTTATTGTTAATTTTCTGTCTATAGAGAGGTTTAGACTATCAGTCCATCTCCTTTGAGCCTGTTTCCCCACTTCGTCTTATTGGGTTTTTTGTGGGTTTTTTTGGTGACAAGAAAATGCTTTCTCTATATGATAAATGAAAGTATTAGTATGGCCCTGAGCTATACATATCAGAAAAGCAGCTTGGGATCAAGTTTATCGTTTTTACAGATTTTGAATCTAAATATTAGGAGTCATAGTAAGCAGTTTACCTTGATTGTAAGATCATTATTTCAACATTTTTAAACTTCTCTCCTACACAGTGTTGCTTTTTCATTTTCAAAATTAAAGAGTGTTTTCTGTGACCTTAGGTTCTCAGCAGGGTAAATGTTACAAGATCTAATCATTACTATTATTTAAATGGCTTTCTGAAATAAAAGTACAAGGACAATTTATTTTTATAAACAAAGCCAAACCATTTTTGCATTCTTTCTAAATAAGCATTAACTTTTTTTCAAGTATACTTCTTTCTTTGATTTATTGCAGCTTTTTAATCAGAGAAAGAAATATTTTACAAAACCCTACTAAGCTTTTGTTCCTGATCTGAATCTCTTTTTAAGTGGACCCTTCAGAGTTCTGACAGGATGTTATTGCTCTAGGTTTCATTAGACCATTGACTCATCTTAGTATTTCTTCCCTGTAAGGCAACATCCAGTGTTTATATAGTCACCAATATGTATTTACCAGCTTTGTTAGGAAGAATAACTATTATGATTGAGTACTCACAAAGGAAGAAAGTTTTAGAAATCCTAATGTTTTTGTGTTTTATTAGACTTCTACAAATAAATAGCTGCTATATTTAAGCTATCTGGCAGGATAGAAGATACTTTTCTAAGTAAAAAAAAAATCATTTACGTCGAAACTACATTAGAATTCTACTTTGGGCTATTAGTGTACCAGCAAATGGCCAGGCTTAGACATTCATATTCTAAAAGATGTGTTTTCAGCTTAAAAACCCTGAGTTGCACTCTCCCAACAGTGCATCCATATCCAATGAATATAAAGCTGTTCCAGAATTCAAAATTAGAAGGAAAGAATAACCAACTTACATAGGATTCTGCAGGTTGTTGACTGGAATCAATTTCTTCTGTTTTCCTCCCATGATTAGGACACTTTCCTTCCTCACGTGGAATGTGGGACGATCACTCTGATTGGGGCAACCACGGAAAACCCTTCCTTCCAGGTCAATGCTGCTCTCCTAAGTCGCTGTCGGGTTATTGTTCTTGAGAAGCTTCCCGTAGAGGCAATGGTGACTATTCTAATGCGAGCAATCAACTCCCTGGGAATCCACGTCCTAGACTCCAGTCGTCCTACTGACCCTCTGAGCCACAGCAGCAATAGCAGTTCAGAGTAAGTTGACTGTGGGCAGTATCTTGGGGGCATACACCTCCCAGAGAATCCCCTGGCAGAGGGCCAGAAACGGCTGGATGGCAGTAAGGAGAGGGTGGGGACAAAGAAGAAATGTTGATCTAGTAATGAAAACAGAAGTAGAGAGAAGTGGTCAATTATACCAACAAGTGTATCTTTGCAAGCACTTCTTTTAAGATGGATTTTATAGTCCTATACAGGGTGCATCTAATTTTTCAAGCTTTAACATCATTTTGCCTGTTGTTTTAGTTTTTGGGTATTTGCTTTTGTGCTTAAGGATTTTGTTCTTTTCTAACACTTTTTTTAAAAAGGCTTGGAAGACTGTGAGAAGGCTTATTAATTATTTTCTTTCATGAAATAGACCTACAGATCTTTCGAGATTTGTATTCAGATTCCAATTTCTTTTTTCCTGCACTTCTCTTTTAGAAATACTAAGTAAAAATTAATGTGTTATCAAACATTTTTAAAATTTTTTTGGAATTATTTTTGCACACTTTAAAAGTCAAACTCAATTCTATGAAAGTAAAGAAATTTTAACTGAAAATAATACATTAAAAGCTCTCTCTTCCTTTTGGCAATCTATTCCTGTATCATGAGTGCCACATGAGTTCATTAATACATAGAGTATATATGGTGTATAATCAATTAGATTACTTGGGTCAGAGGTTTTCTTTATACTCAAATATATTCTTCAGATGTCATTTATTCATGTGTCAACTGAAATAACACAGTGGAACATAATCTGGTCTGATGAGAGACTAATGCCTGCCTCTTCATGCTCTGGACCCCACAGCTGCTGGTGCCTGCCCTGAGGCCAAGTTCTGGAGCCACTCTTCTGTGAGGATTAAAGTACAAGACATAGTTTTAGATTCAGGGTTTAGGTTTCAAAAGTCTCTCCCTGTGTGTTTGGCCTCTCCCATTTGCCTCTGTCTCTTGGAGGAGGAATTATGCTGTGCCTCATGAAAGCCTTGAAACATGGCCAAGGCCCCCAGGCACAAAAAGTCACATCATTTTAGGGTGGAATTGTGATGGCATAGCCATCAAAATTATGGCTAAAAAGACATATGGAACCTGCTAGTATCAGTTAATGTACTCACATCTAGTATAGCTTTCCTTTAAATAACATTTTTACTATAAAAATACATATAACCAAGTGATAAACATGATAAGAAAGGGGGGGAAATATCCCAACATATTTCTGTGTATTTTTTTTCTGTGTACTGATTATTGTAATATATCTACAACTTTATATCCTGCATTTTTATTAATTTAGGGTAATTTTATTGATTTCATTCAGGTCATGATTTCATGGAATTGTTGTTCAGATACCCTCAGGCTTTTTTCTCCAATCACTGCCATGCCATAATTAGGTGAAATGAGAAGGACAGTGGAAGAACCATGGAGCTCATTTTAAAAAGGATTTTTGCATCTTAACAGGATCTCTGAGTCATTTGCATGCACATTAAAATTTGAGAGGATCAAGTGAAAGAATTAAGATTTCTCTTATTGAAACTGGGAGCCTGATACAAAAGTGAGCCAGTGATCCTTAATCTGCTAAAATTGAATTTCAGTCAGAGAAAACCTACCATGTCTAATAGGTTGTTTACTTTTTCCACTATCCCTCATTTGAAAATGACGCTAATTATTACTTATTTTCATTCACTTGTTTATTTTGTTATTCCCATCCCTCCCCTTCCTGGGGAGGGCTAAGAAGATAAGAATTTGTCCTTCTTATTCAGATTCCCAGCACAGTGTCTAGTGTATATGTGTTTAATAAATGCTTTGTTGATGAGTAAATTCTGACTTTCAATATGAGAGAAGTAGTTTAATTTTGATTTTGGAGTGTGTAGCATAAGGGTTGATTGCTCCATTGCTCAGGTATCAAGAACCTTTTTCTTTAATATTATTGTCTAAGCAAACAGTGAAATCAAAGTTTATTAAACTTGAATAATTGGTCTACTTGTTAGCAATTCTGACAGGAAAGTTAAGTTGGGAAATGGCATAGGCCACAGAGAGAACTCTTGTAAATGACTTCCTAACAGAAGCACCTGACCACCCCAATTGCTGTGGAGAATTAAAAATGGATTTTATTTTCTTTCAATTTTAGGTAAAATTAAACTTTCACGTCTATTGACTGGCTTCAAATATATATACATTCTTGTGGGTGTAAGTTAAATTTGGTTACACTAATCCAGCTGGAAGGATAGGAAAGACTTTTAACCCCAAGTAATTACTTTCTCTGGGAAGCCATGAGTGCATTTGTAGTCTTATATTTTGGTGTCCTAGTTTACAGAGAAGTCTAGACTGTTTCAGGTTGTAGATGAGATGAGCTGAGCAGGTACTGGTGTGAAAATGAATCAAGCTGATGCTTACCACCATTCTTGATTTTTCTTGAGGAATTGTGAATTCTTATGTAGTATATACATTTGTACATGACATATTCCCATTAGAGTGAGATAAAGGGTTCTTTTTAAGCTTTTCCCTCTGTGTTTATTTATTTAACATAAATTGAAGGCCCTGCATGTGCTAGGCCTTGGCTGAGTATTGAAAAGCACATTCCTGTGCCTTTAAAAAGCTTAGTGTGTGATAAGGAAATAGAAGAGTAAATTGGCTTCCCAGGGACATATGATTGCAATATGACCAAGGAGCAGTGGGGGATAGAGAAGACGCATCTAGAATATGTGAAATCAAATATTTCACCTGCTGGATGAGGGAGATGCTGAGTTAAAGTTCGGAGGGTAAGCAGAACTTAACTAGATGAAATGGGAAAGTCATTTTGGCAAGGGGATACAGCATGTGAAAGGCAAGGTGGTAATAAATAGTATGATCCATTCATTATGGCTGAGTAGAAGAGTGGATGTGAGGAAGTGATGGTCAGTGAAGCCAGAGAGGGAGGCAGAGCCAGATTATGAAAGACTTGTGCTCTAAAAGTAAGGTGAGTGATGTGGAGAGCTATGGGAAACCAAAGAAAGTTTTTGAGCAAGAGAGTAAGTGACATGCTCAGCTCTGTATTTTAGGAAGAGGAGTATAGCATTGGAGAGGATGGGATGAATGGAGTCAAGTCCCATCTTCCCCACCCCTCACCAGGCAGCAGGAAGACCAGTTAGGAAGCTTTTGTAGTGATGCCGAAGACAAATGACAAATGCAGGTGACTTGAACAACAAAGCCAGGATCTGCTCTGAAAAATTGCAAAATCAGGTCTGTAGGCTTGGGTGTGAGGAGGGAGGAAAAAGGAGTGTCCAAGATGACTTTGATACCCAGTGACTGGACAAGTAGTTGTATGCTTGAAAAGAAAGATACAAGGAGATGTGGAGTTCAGTTTAGGACTTGTTCAGTTTGTGGGGCCTCTGGATGATTCATATGGAAAGGTTTTCTAGGCAGTTAGATAAAGAAGTCAGGAGAGCAGTAGAGATGTTTGAGCCCAGAGATTTGGGAGCCACCGGCATTTCAGGGATCATATATCCCATGTGTTTGAATAGGAGAGCTAAAGAGGGCCAGGAAATAAGGGCAGTGAGTTGAGGACTTACCAGCATTTATTTTGTAAGAGAGGAGACAAAGTCCAGAAAGATAGAAAAACCATAAGGATGCTTCAGCAAGGAGGGAGTACTCAACATTATGGAACCACTTACAATTAGGTTGGGTTGCATATAACAGGGAAAAGAATCAAATTAACTGGCATAACCAAGATAGAACTTTCCTTTTCATCTAAGAGTCTGAAGATAGACAAGTGTAAAAAATGCAGTTGCTAGTCAGCCTCATGGCATCCTCAGGGACCTGGGCCCTTATCTTTCTGCTCTACCACCTTTAGCACATGACTTCAACCTCATGCCCCAAGGAGCTCTAGCCATCATACCTGCATTCCAGGCAACGAGATGGAAGAAAGGCATCTTCCCTATACTCTCCCATGTTTACCACCTCACAGCTTTAGTGAAACATCTGCAAAATAGTACTCTATTCAATTGTGAGTTGATTGTGAAGAGAAAGATAGAGATAAGTTGGTAAGTTATGTTGAATTATCTGTACCATGACTCTTTTGGTTTGTATGGGTAATCAGTAGTGTTCATGTATTTTGCTAAGCATTTTGGTCACATGGTACAAACAGTGAAGCATGTTATCTGAGCACTGGGTTAATTTTGGGGACCAGGAGAAAAAAAAAATCCATGGTCTATTATCCATTGAGCTTGTAATGCTGGAAATGAGGAAGTGAACTAGTGTTCAGTCACTCCAAGAACTTGCAGCTTTGAAGGATTATAGATTCCACATAATAGGACACATGCATATCCAAAAACCCCCTAAAGAATCCGTTGTTTGTAGGCCAGATAACATGCATTCATTTCTGGATATGAAGAGAGAGAAGTGAGGAGCCATGATTGCCTTGTCACTAACTAGGCAGAGTTCCAACAGTTGGTTGGAAGAGTTAACATGGCTCTGTCCTTCTGACGTGAGGGTGCTGTGGCTTAACTCAGACTGGGGCTTTTCTCTGATCACAAAGAGGAGGACCGAGACAAAACAGCTGTAGGATCATTTGGTTTGTTTTTATTAATTAATATTATTATTAATATTATTACCTGCCTTTCAAAAATAACCTTTTCTAACACTGAATGGAAAGAAAGGTAGTGGAACACTAGAATAGGAAGTACCAATCAGGAGTTACAGGTTTAGTTAGAGTGGATTTTAATAACTCTCCTTAAAAATAATTTGATACAAAGAAAGAAAGGTACATTAGCATACATTATAAAAATTACAACAAAAATAATGGCAACCAGAAACATCAATCGGTTAACAGACCTTGTATCTGTTTCCTGTTCCTGCCATCACAAATTTTGGATATCCCCTGCCTTTTGAAAGTTCACATTACACCACTTCACATTCACAAAAGACCTACATTAACACCTATTGTCATTAATGGAAGAAATTTGAAGAGGATTTTCACTCTTCCCCCAAAAAAAGGCAAAAAGCAAAAACAGCATTCAACACTTGTT